TGGATACTAACAAGTTTGACCTTTTGACCTTGAACTTGGAAATTTCCTTACTTATGAAAAAAAAACTTTAACCTTAGCCATAACTTTTGAATGGTAAGGGCTAGAGTTTTCATACTTCACATATGTAATCCTTGTTACATTAAACCTTTCTTAAGAAACCATCAACTTTGACCCTTTGACCTTTGAGTTTGACCTACCTTTCAAAAACTTATCCTTAGCCATTACTTTTGAACAAGTGATGCTAGGGCTTTCCTATTTTGCAATTGTATTTCTTGTGAGAAGACCCTACTTTGGGTACCAATATATTTAAATTGCATTTAAGAAAAGTTAAAAATATATAATATATTTAATATTCGCTGTGTTGCCATACAGGGGCATAGCTGTTTCAAAAGTTTAACACATCTTTTTATATATAAGAGCAGTTGCGGATAAGAGATGGATACCCCAAAGTGTAACAGACGGACGAACGGACATCCCGATCAGTATATATCCTCCCGCTTTTCAAGCGGAGGATATAATAATATATAATATTATACCTTCATGTAAATTAGTTGAATCTGATTGGCCGAGAAACATTTGTTAAAAATCACTATTACCCGCTAAATAATGGAGCCACGCCCTCCAGCGTAGCAACAGTCAACATTGCTTGACGACGGGTGGTATTCCAAAAAATAGCGACTGCGCAGAATTTATGCGCGCACGGTTCACTGTTATATGTATTTGTATAAAACCTTCAGTATAATATAATAAATATAGCATGTAGTTGAGTGTAACATTGAAAATTTTCACCCCTCGAAAACCATTGTCAACCTCGGCTGCGCCTCGGTTGACAATGGTTTTCTTGGGGTGAAAATTTTCAACGTTACACTCAACTACATGCAATATTTATATAATACTGTTGATTTTTTCTGTCAGTACGATGATTTCCACCATCGAAAAACAATGTTTACCTAACACTTTAGGCTCGATAAATCTTTTACTCCTTTAGATTCTGAATCATCGCACTGACCTTAAAATATAGCTATAATTGTATAATGTTATGAGATCAACATATCATCAATTTATTCCCAATTAGCTCAGGTGATCATTTTGGCCAATATGCTTCTTTATCTAATTTTTTTTGCCCCCTAAAAATTTCAGCTTTAATCCACAGGGAGTCATTTTTCTACGGGGGTCATTTTTCTTCACGTGGGTTCTGCAAATTTTTAGGGTGGTGACACTTTTTCTACGGGCAAAAGGGTCATTTTTCGACGTCGAATAATGACCGGGGGTCATTTTTCGCTGTCGAAAAATGACCCCCCGGTCATTATTCGATGGGGGTCATTATTCGTCTTTACAGGAAACAACAAATAAGAGACAGCAAATTCTGATTGATGTGAAACGTTTTTAATTTTATTGATATTTACTGAAATATAAATTGCAATGGTTTCATTATGGATGGATGTTTTGGAAAATACGATTAATGTGCTTAAAACATATTAAAATGGTTGCACTATATCATAGACATAAACCACAAAGATTCGGTTTTCGGGGCGGGGGGGATCCATATCTGGTTGATGGAGATAGAGTGCGATTTCCACAATATCTAATTTCCCCTCCCTTAGAAGACATAAACTTTGATTTTTGCTTATATATGGCAATTAAATTGTATGTATCAATGCATTTCGTATTCTTTTTTTCGTTTTTTATCGATATTTTTTTCTTTCAAATAGGGTAAAAAAATCAAAAATAAAAATCAATATAATTCACTTGAATCAAACAATTATTTTTTAAACATGATCTGAAATTGTCTGGTATTTTTTTTTCTTCCATTCGTCTAGACCTTCAATTGAAAACAAATAATTAAGAATATTTTATTAGTTTATATCTTATTTATAAAAGTTAATTGAGATATATTTTTGTATAAAATAACAACCAATTTTTAAGTGTCATCTTAAAACACTGAAAACAACACTGAAACATTTTTGAATGATAAATGATAATGATATTGATATGAAATATTCGAAAAATCCTACTAAAAAACCCTATGTGTCCAAAGTACATTTTGGTTTTCACTCTTAAAACTGGTTTGAAACTACGTGCCTCTGGTCATTTGAAATACAAATAAAAAATTCTTAATATGATACATATGGGGATTACGAAGCGTAATCAAGTCCATTAAACTACACAGAAAAGGAGCAGAGCGAACACACGGACCTCCAAAACATCAGAGGTGGGATCAGGTGCTATGGAGGAGTGAGCATCCCCAGACGACTGGTCACACCCGCCGTCAATTTTTCACATTTAAATGGCTGTCATTTTTTTTTAAAATTTCAAAATCTAGCCAAAATGTTTTTACTGCGGTAATATACATAATAATTATAAATATATTAGACATTGGAAATCATACTCTTGGAAAGAGAGAGAGATGGAAAATAGCTATGATGTGGATCCTATTCATTAACACCTGTAATAAAGGTTTTTACTCTCGTTTGGGTATACAACAACAAAGAAGTATTAGAATTTGAAAAATTATAAATTAAGACAAAAAATACATGTAAAAGACATCTACTTGATGCATTGAAAAGGTCGTATTAGTGCGGTTTTCAAGTTATATTCACGATAAAAAATTAAATCTACTTTGGTTTTGATCATTTGGCCGTAAACTAAGTTCAAATCAAAAGCAAAGACACAACCCAGTTTAAGGTGTGTCCGAGGCATGTGACAAATATCGTAACAATCGGTGCACTTTTGATTCCGGCATGTGACGTCCTGTAAATATTTAAAACTGATTACAGGTTGTTTACACTCTCCTCGACCAAGAAAAATCATGCATGCTATCTGAATTAGCCGTCCAAAGATACATTTCTATATATTAGGGTTACATAAACTTTAAAATGATAATTAATCGTTGAAAATGAGTCAGAAAATGCATGTGCAAGTTTCTGATAGGATATCAAATTATTTAAACAAACAATTTTTATTTCAAATGTGAATTTTTCTTCTTCCAACAATAGGAGGTCACAAATGGTGTTTTTTTTTATCGTTTTAAAAGAATTAATTTAACTTTAAATTTTACAAGTATCATATTTGAAAACTTAATGTTTCCTTTTTTCATGGAAATTATTGAAAATTCATCTTTGAATTATTTTCCACAAAAGATGACGAAAAAGAAAAAAAAAATACTGTCAATTTCCTAAATTAACAGAAAAGTTCTATTTACTGATTTAAAAAAAAAAGGCAAAATTGATTAAGCCTTCTACTCTTCTTTATTAAACCAATTGCATCTCAAATCTATGTGAACAATTAATTGAGAGCATATGGATTGCTTATAAGTTTCATTGTTGTTTTTTTAAAAAATAGATTTTTGCTCATTATTTGCTTCTTTTAACCGATCTTTTTACCAAAAAATAATGCTCAAAATTTTGATAAATATTTTAAATTGTTATTTAAGACAAACATACCCTTAGTTAGTTGTACGTTTTCTCCTCACTGAATGTTGAAAAGAAGAAGGTATCGTTTTAGCTTTATTCTGCCCTAAAAATTTAATGCTTTCAAAAAGTTGTAAAACTGGCTTAAATATTTGTTGAGTTTATAACTGTGATAGATCAGGGAAAAAATATGGCATGAAGGGATACCATTCTGGAAATATGTCGTCATTAACTTGACGTATATCTCTATTCTAAACCGAAAAAGCCTCAAAATGACCAATATCAACGGTAATTCTCCTGCAGAAAATAGTATCCACAGCGGTCGCCCACTTTAATTTTTGGATATATTGTGCAAAATTTAATGAAAAATAACATATCTCAAAATCTTTATGGGCGATGCCTGGACTGTGGACTATATTATCTGAAAGACAGTTCCATTGAAAATTGGTGTCTTCTTGAACTTTAAAAAAAAGATACGGGAAAATGCATTATTTTTGACCTCACAATTGGCATGTATAAATACATGTGAGAAAAATAATTTGTATGATTTTTTTTTCTGCATGAAATTTCAATGATTCAGAAAGCATAAGTTTTTTTTTTTCTTTTTACATCAGTTTCATTTTTAAGAAAATCACAGGACAAGATTTGCATTTAAACCCCACTTTGTTCTTTATCTTGAACGAAGCAAAAGAATGAGTACCTAAATTAAAATAAATTTAAAAAGTATAAAACAAATAAAAAAAAACATATCTTATGTGTTTTAGATAAAAAAAAAAATTATGCCAAGAATCACTTAATATCCTACGTTTTCATCGAAAAATTTAAATGAAGAGCAAAATTACTTCAATTAAAGATTGATAAATTATGTATGGTATTTAAAAGAAATGAAATAGATATTTAATTTGAAATGGAGTTGTTTGAATAAAAGTAGAGCTAATTTCCGTTTTTAGTTCAAGTGATATTTTAAAACAAAAGTTTTTAAACAAAAATTCACATTCTCGTATACATGGTATATGATTTCTGTCACATTATCTATTTTAAAAGAGGATACGAACATTTTCATTTACGATGCTGAAAGAATTAAAGCAGTTTTTTAAAGGAAAAGAATTATATGTGAAAATAAAACTACATTAATCAAAATTAAAACGCAAATGCACAAGTAAGGAATGATAACTGTCCAAAGTCTCGCAAACCAGTTTAAGGCAGGCGCATCCTCCTTGATCTAATTGATAACGTTGAAGTTGAAGTAGAAACCGCGGCCTTGTATGATAATATTTGGAGGAGATGACGGTTATATTCAGCGAATGTCTGGACCAAGTTTATAGGCACCCAGTGGGATACTCTCTAAAACATAATTTTTTCTAAAGATGGATATGAAAAATAATTAGTTTTTGCTCTTCAAATATTCTCCTTTTTACTTATAAGATTTAAAAATATCCTTTATTATTCCGTGAATTTTTGGTAAAAAAATAGGCAATTGACCATTTTCCCTGTTTGATCCCCTGACCTGCAAAATAAACGGATATGGGAAATTATAAAAGGCACCAACTAGGTGATGCAAATATTTCACTTTCATACCAAGTAAAAAAATTACGTCCTGAGGGAACAGTCAAAAAGGTAAGGGCATGATTACTATTACAAGAATTCTCGAGAAAGAATGCCTATAATTGCAATATTCCTTTATAGTTAAACAACCCCATTCTTTGTAATTTCAAAAGGAATGTATGTAAAAAAATATTCTTACTTGGAAAAAATATATAGCGAAACGTGAGAAATAAGTATTAGTTTAATACATATTTCTTAAACGACATTAAAAAAGATTGTGAAAAAATGCAAAAAGAATTTAAATAGAATTTTTTTTTTATTAAATACTCTCAACTCCTCCTAAAGGTATGACTTAAAATCAATTTTTGAGTAAAATAAAATGACAAGAATAGTTTATCAACAGATGCAAGAGGGACAGAAATCTTTAGTTAAAGAAATCAACTTACCTTTGCCGCAGCAAAAAGATTTTAATGGAACTGTCTTCCCTCTTATCCTTTCTCCAAACGACAACTGTGAAAACCAAACAAGCTTTGATTCAATTGAAAATGTTATTGAATGGGTACAAAAAGACAAAACTTTAATTGAAGACAAGCTTTTGAAATATGGAGCTATTCTTTTTAGAGGTTTTCCAGTAAATTCTCCATCTAATTTCGACGACTTCGTCAAAGCCTTTAAGTACGAACCTCTGCCGTATGTTGGTGGAGCGGCACCAAGAACCCAGGTAGTGGGGAATGTATTCACTGCAAACGAGGCTCCACCTGATGCTCTTATTCCCTTCCATCATGAAATGGCCCAAGTACCAACTTATCCTAGCGTACTCTTTTTCTACTGCGATATTGCTCCCAAAGAAGGTGGAGAAACACCTCTTGTCCTCTCCCACCTGGTTTACAGAAAAATGATGGAACTTGAAAGTGACTTTGTAAACTCCTTAAAAGAAAAAGGAGTTATTTATACTCGAATTTTACCAAATGGTGACGATCCTACCTCTCCTATAGGCCGTGGGTGGCAATCCACTTATGGTACAGAAGACAAAGCAGCAGCCGAAAAGAAAGCACTAGAACTTGTTGGGTCAGTGGAATGGTTAGAAGATGGATGCATGAAAACCGTGACCAAAGTTCTTCCAGCAATCCGTGAGGATCCTCGAACTGGGAAGGAAATGTGGTTCAACTCCATCATTGCAGTATATCGAGGCTGGAAAGATTCTAGAAACTCTCCCGAAACCTCCATAACTTTTGGAGATGGCTCCCCCATGAATCCGGAAACAATGGATACTCTTGAGAATGTTCTAAACAACTTGGCTATTGACTTCCGCTGGCAGAAAGGTGACGTTGTAATGGTTGATAACAGACAGGCCCTGCATGGGAGAAGGTCGTTCATTCCTCCTCGACGCATTTTGGCAGCGTTGTGTAAATAAATATTAGAACTTTGTAAATATTGATTTATACATTGTCATTTGAATTGCCAGGTATATATTTTGTTCAACTATATGTGCAATTTGGCATGATGCACAAAATATTTATATTTTTACACAACAAACATGATATTTTCTTTATGATCGTATAAGCGTTATATACCGGCAATCAACTATGATTATTTGTTTTTATTTGTCTGAAGGCATGATGTTTTAAATGAAATTGAAACGTTTTGCTGTTTCTTTTGGAAGTTCTAGACAATCCAACATTTTGCACATAAACGCTGAATCAACATTACTATTTTTCATTTTGTTTGCTAACGCATGCATCTTGAATTTCAAAACACCCTTAACCTCTTTCGCTAACTTTACATGCTATTATTATATCTTTAGAAACTTTACATGATACATAAATATTTCATACTAGAGCAAAGTGGCCCTTATTGTATTAATTAATGCTGAAAATTAATTTGGAAATTAGGGTTAATAGGTTAAACTTAATCTAGAGATGAAATTTCGTAAAAGATATTTGTGACTTTATTGAACGAGCAAAAACTGTAAATATTAATTTTTAAAGATAAAAGATAACAGACACTGGCAATTGACAAAATCGAAACGAAAGTATATGGTTCACAGATTAAATTAAAGGTGACGATTGAACTTATTGCTAGCGCTCTCGAGGGCTAGCAATTACGTTAGTCCAAATGTCTGGAATACGCATGCTCGGCTTCACGGTCGGGCATTCTTGGAAAACTTCACGGTCTATCTGTCTCTGAAAACCACTATAGATAGACTGTACGATAACAATTTCGTTATGTCATTAAATATAACTGGACTTTTCTTTTTGATTCTGAAGTTTGTTTATTTTTTTGTGTAACTTACACTTTAAAGTAAACTTCAAAAGAAAAACGTAGGTCATATAATGCCAAGATTCTAGACATCTAGCTTGCGAATTATACCACCTACCTGCGGGATAATGCCGTCAACCTCATAAAAGATCTCTTTCTTTTCTTTTCAACGTTTGTTGGCAAGACACAATAAGCGATCGATACAATGCAGCTTCACACTAATATAATTTTAATTCTGTAACATACACTTTACAAAAACTTATATAACTCTAACTATCAGACTCCAGACTCATTAAACATTAGAATTCAGCAAAATAAATTAGTTCAACACGAACCTTCCTTTCTATGTTTAAAAATTGCTACGGCGCTAGCTCATCTATCTTTTTTAAAAGATAAACTTGTATGATTATAAATGCAGGTAAGAGTTTGTAAACATGAAATATTCTGGACGTACATAAGAGGAGAGCGATCGAGTACCTGGTGTAGAATCCTCATGTTGATGATGGAGGTGTGCAGCAAAATAACAAATAAATAAACAGACAAAAAAAAAAATAACCAGAAATAAATAAATGGATAAATAACCACAGCAATAAAAATTGTGTAGATGAATAGCTCTAAAATTTGCATATGAAAATCAAAGTACTGAAAGTACTGATACGAGTTGATGGTTGTTCAAGCTTATAAATTGATCACTGCTTTACTGATAAGGAAATGAAATTGCCTTTTAAAAATTGCAGAAATTTAGACTTCCATTTGATTTCTGATGTCAATTTCATGAGATGATGCACTGTATTATTAAATCCCATAAAGAAATAATGTCATGTGAAATAATAAGGAAAGCAATTCTTTTTACATTATATTTAAACATTTATTGTGTATTAGTACCCTATTTTAACAAATGAAATGAAACGCTCTTTTATACCTACAGTGTATCATGGTACAACAATATCTGAATGCCCTTAATGTGGATACAGCAAAAGTAATATAGCTTTAAAACAAGAGGCCCATGGGCCACATCGCTCACCAGAGTAACTTGGGTGATGCAGTTCTTTACCAGATTCCCTCTCGTTCTTTACCTATGATGCCCACTACCCCCTTCCCTTTTATGATTTTAAAACTTTAGAATCTACAAAACCCAAGGATGCTTCCACATAAGTTTCAGCTTTCCAGGCTCAGTGGTTCATGAGAAGAAGATTTTTAATTTTGTTCTATATATTTCTATGTTAAACTTGGATTCGGCCATTGTGGGCCCGCCCTACCACCGGGGGTCATGATTTCAAACAATTTAATATCTACACTACCCAAGGATGCTTCCACATAAGTTTCAGCTTTCCTGGCCCAGTTGTTCTGGAAAGAAGATTTTTAAAGCTTTGTTCTATATATTTCTATGTAAAACTTGGATTACCTATTGTGGCCCCGCCCTACCCCCGGTGGTCATGATTTTAACAATTTAATATCTACACTACCCAAGAATGCTTCCACATAAGTTTCAGATTTCCTGGCCCTGTGGTTCTTCAGAAGAAGATTTTTAAAGCTTTGTTCTATATATTTCTATGTAAAACTTGGATTCCCTATTGTGGCCCCGCCCTACCCCCGGGGGTCATGATTTTAACAATAAAATATCTACACTACCCAAGGATGCTTCCACATAAGTTTCAGCTTTCCTGGCCCAGAGGTTCTTGATAAGAAGATTTTTATTGAGCCCACATATTTTTGTCTTTTCTTGATTATCGCCCCTTGTAAGGGGACTTGGCCCTTCATGTTAACAATTTAAACTTCCCATTACCCAAGGATGCTTTTTGCCAAGTTTGGTTAAAATTGGTCCATTGGTTCTTGAGAAGAAGTCGAAAATGTGAAAAGTTTACAAACGGACGGACAACGGACAAAATGTGATCAGAAAAGCTCACTTGAGCCTTCGGCTCAGGTGACCTAAAATAATTTTCATTATCAATTTGACAATTACTATTGTTATACTTATCATATAAGATTTTTTTAACATTGCAGTCTTCCAGTTTGAATGTGTAAAAGCACAATATACAGTAAAATACAAGAAAATGATTTTTTTTAGAAAAGAGAAAGTCGCCGTCACAATTTTGTTCATAATTTTCTCACAAGTGTAACGAGCATTAAGAATGCAAAATGTGTGTAATCTTAATATCAGAAGTTTTACACAGGACCCTGATTTACAAATAAATGCTTCAGTAATCAAAGTACTAACACAGTTATATTTGGGCTACAGGAGAAAACTAATAATTATGTTCTTGAGCATATACACTTTACAACTGTTGCAAAAACACATGGTCACGGTAAAATATTTGTTGCATATCACAATAAGCTGTAAGATTTTACCTTCATGACACACAATAGACACTAGTTGGACAACTGCATTTTTTTCCAATGTAAATTGTAGTAGCTGAAATCGGTTTTGAAATTCAAACATGAAATTAATATGATATATATAAACATATGCCTCCAACATTTTCTTGAAAATAAAATTTCTGCTATCAAACTGCGGTTTAAAAATGATATTGCTTCTAATTGATGTCACTACAAAGTACATACTTTGTACATCACCTGAGTATCTCGGCTTGAAAAAAAGAAGATATCAGTTCCATTTTGAGAAGTTTAACTTAAGTTTATAAATGGTCTCAAGCTCCCAGGGGGGAAGGGGCATCATTTGAACAAAAATTAAGTTGCAACAAGTTTACAACACAACAGACAACAAAGAAATCGGATCAAAAAACTCATTTAAGCTTTTGACTCAGGTGAGCAAAAATGTGTTTCGCCATGCAATTTTAAAACAATTACAAATATAAAACTAGAAAAGAAACTCGTTGCGACTCTGAAACACCCCCCCCCCTTCAAAATCGAGATAAAAAAGGGATATAACTTTTTATTAAAACAAATGGGATTGAACCCGGGTCGCCAGCTTAAAAATCGAAAGCACAAAGCACTTACTATTACGCTAAGGGATCACAGGTCTTCATATACTTGTATAAACTTCTGCAACAGTACATCTGTCTTAGAATAATGAAAGGCGGGTCTCTATACATAATTTTGAGTCAAACGCCACGAGTAAATCTTTGCGCCTTTTCATTGGAATGTTCCATTAAATAGGTGTGGTATCTTCAATGTAGAAAAGGAACGTTCTTATAGCTTAAATTTGAAGGTTAAGAAAGTATTTAACACATTTACACATTCTATTACGTATATAGATAAGTAACACTAAATCAGTGAAACAACTATAATTTTTAACTTATTAGTGAACTATCCTGACTAGTTAAACTTTCATGAAAAGGTTGAAATGTTTCTGAAAAACGTGTCGCCCTACCACTGTCAAGGAATCAGATACCATTTATGTTCAATAACTTAAATCAGATCTTAGAGACAAGAATATTAATATATTTATTAATTTTGTCTTTCTATTAGTTTACTATGACACAAATGTGCATGAACAAAACAGTGCTTACGTTTAATACTTACAATACACATCGATATTGTTTCTTAAAAAACTATTACTTAAAACTATGATTTAAAATTTGTTTTCCACAAAAAACAAATGATACTAGGTATCGTATTTCATTTGCACATGTAGTCTTTTCTTTTTCTACTTTGAGAATCAGCCAAAACCAATTATAGAAGACGTTTGAGACGACCATGGATTAAACCTTAGTTCGACACAGAATTGCAACGTAACAACGACGTAACAATCCCAGTATTCCTTCACATTTCATTTATCCTTATTTTACTTTCGTTCAAGCAAACGCTCGACTGACTCCGTAAACCCTGACTTGCGAAATGTCGGAGTAGACAGAGAGAGCCGCCATTTTGATCCCGCTTCAGATTTTTGAATGCTAATATCTAGAGTTTGGATTTATCAATTTGAAAACAAATTATACAGTAAGCATAATAAGAAAGGTTTCTATTAATATTCCAAAAAAAATAAAAAATATTGAAAAACAAAAAAGTTAGAAAATACGGACTTTTTAATTTCGCTTCCGGTAGCAACCGGAAGTAATAACAACGCACGAAAAGGTGATTCCGCAAATTTAAAAGTCATCCTCTATCATCTCTAATAAGTCTCCAGTTAATATCTTAAGCCATTTTTGAAAAAAGGGGGAACAAAAATCCGTTGTAAAATCAGAAAACTGTCAATATCTTGGAACCGAAGGTGAGTATTCCAAATTTTCCTTGT